TATTCATGATGCCTCTAAACTTGAGACAGCATGATGGATACATATCTCAGCTATATATGAAATATGGCTATGGTATATCCAAGCTAGATGGAGAGAAAATATTATTCCTGAATCAATAGTTGGTAAAGTTACTGAAGGAAAAATTAAAAGAAACTTGCAAGTCCTAAACAAATTGCAAAAAGGAAAAGGAATACGAAAAATTATGAAACATATAAACATTAAACACATATTAGACTGTAAATAGTTAAATAGTATGCCAATTTGCGTTTTTGAAAAAAAAAAAAAATTTAAATAATTTGTTTAAAATTAAAAATTAGAGACCAATATCACTAGTGAACTTAGATGCAAAAATATTTATGAAGCTACTGGCCAACCAGATTAACCCAATATGTAATAAAATAATTAGCCTATATAACAAGTATTTATTGCCAAAAGATTAATAACAGATGCAGCTTTAGATGTAATAACAACACTTAGAAACCAAAATGACCAATCCAAACAATACTGGATTCTGCTCTTAAACCAACAAAAAGCCTTTTATAGAGTTAGCCACTACTTTATCTAGCTAGTTTTTGAAAAAAATAAGAATCATAAACTCACTATTTGCTAACCAAAAAGCTTATATTACAGACTTAGGGTTCAACTCTGAGTTCTTCAAAGTTGAAAAAGAAATGAAACAAGGAGACTTACTATCATTATTCCTATATGTTCTGGCAATCAATCCTCTAATACAAACAATAGACCAAAATATCAAAGTCATTCCTATTAACAATACAGCTTTCAAAATAGTTGCTTATACAGATGATATATCAATATATCCTGTTATAAAAAAGCATCAAATGCAAAGTCAACAGAACTAAGTCAACACTCATTCTGATTACTTCAAATATCTACAGAATCAAGCTAACAAACCAAGTTGAATATAAAACAATTAGTGAAGAACAAAGCAACATTACTATTCTAGGTTATGAAATTAACACAAAAGAAAAACCAGACAGCCTTCTCTGGTCCAATATATAAAAAAAGATAAAAGATAAGATACAAATTCTGTCATAAAGAAATCTCTCACTTTAAGAAAAAATTTTAGCAGCAAAAACCTTCTTATTTTAAAAATATAGTACCTTGCCTATCTGCTGCTACTAACAAGAAAACAACTAAACAAAATTGATGCATTAATATTCAATTAGATCAAGAAAAACTCCAAAATGCTGTCAAAATATTCAACTTTTCAACTTAGCTACAAGCAAGATGGCCTGACTGTTTATATACTTAAAGACATGCTAGATGCAAGACTGCTTACAATATAGACAAAACTCTTATCAAATAGCTTCTTCTGGGCCAGAACAGAAAGAATACAAATTGCATCAGCATTGCAGATTAAAAGAGAAAAAACAATAACTGAGATTTTATAGCAATCTTTTTATAAACTAAAAGGATGATCAGAAAAATAAAAACCTTACATAACAGTCTATAATAGATTTAAAGAAAAATTAAAACAAATACAACATGACCAAGTTATTTGAAAATTTTGAAATATGTTTACTAAATGATTACTAATTTATAATCAAAAAAGCACTAACCAAATATTATGCAGCTATAAGGTCAAATAACAATAAAAACAAACCCAGAAACAAGGCTATTAGAATTTAAATAGATAAAAACAAAATATATTCTAAACAAAAAAAAAGACATTTTCTGAAGGCTAGCATATAGAGCTCTCTCACTAAGCTACTATCTGGCACATTTCAATTAAGAAACCTAGGAGATTGTTCAAATTGTTTTTATAAAACCCAAACAATTGAACACTTTGCTCTTAAATAACTAATAAGCAAAAAGATATAGGAAACTGTTTACAAGTGTCTTAAATTCTATAAAAATGAACCAATCTCTTCTTCAATCAAGAATATTCTTCAGATGACTAATATAAAAAACAAGAAACTTTAGGAAGTTGCTTTTGTACAAAATAGTAAGCAATAGAGTTTAAGCAAAGAAAGCTAGAACTAGCAATATCTTAAAACATATTAAATCTTTACTGTAAATATGTATTATAATATTCTATAAATAAGGATGGTGATCCTAGTGTAGTGGTTAGGTTGTCATCCTTCAAGTGGCAGGTCTAAGGTTCAAATCCCACCTATGATGAAATTTGAAATTATATTTGCATTATGATAACTGTCTCCTGTCAATTAGTTGGCCTCATGCAGCTGTAACCCAGGTACACCAAGTCAGGTCCTACCAATATTGAAAGCTTGGGCATCTATGCAAAGTGTAACATTACACATACATAGAAGAATGTATAACTAGTATTGCATAAGACTTTGATTCAAATCCATGATAAGACTACTGGGTATAGAAGACTAAGAAACTGAGGTAACAAAAACCTACTTAGAAATTCCTGAGTAAAGAGGTAGCATAAACTTTTGACAGTATCATCAGACACACCTTCATAGGAACCAAAGGTTAAACCAGACAGCAAATATGTGTAAAAAAGCACATAACCAACCAGGCTGTCAGATTTACCAAAGGAAAAAAAATACAGAAGTATACCATACCAGGTCATCTGAATTGGTAGTCTGAAAGAGACTGCTGGTTTTGAGTTGCAGCTAGTAGGGAATGATGAAGAAGATGCCAGGAAGATAGTTACTGGGGTTCTAGTAAACTTTACAAGAGTAGAAATAGTGTAACATAGCAGTTAAACAGGTAACTCTTGTGACTGCAAGTATTAGGTAACTATAATGTATTGTATAAAACTAGGTTTGTATGTGTGAGACATAAAAGGCTCTAGTAAGTTTCCTGTCAAGAATAAAGTAGTTCTAAGGGTAATGACCAGCATCAGGAACTTGGATGGGTGTAGCCTTGAGATGTTCTCATAATACAAGGATGATTGCATATGCAGAGGGTTTAAATAGGCAAGACCTTTAATTGGTTTGCAGATATAGCAACTAGTATAGAACTTATATAGCAATGTGTAAGCAGACTACTTAAATTAGATACCAAAAGTACACATGTGGCTAGTTGTACCTCTATTGTAAGGTAAGCCACTGGTGGCATGCTATGTCCTATATACTTGAATAAAAATGTCACATTCTCAAGACAAAGACTTTAACTATAAAAAAAAAATAATAATAATATTCTATAAATAAATAAAGAGCACTTAGATGCAAAGAAAAAACAAGGACAAATTAAAACATCATGCTCTCAAGAGAAATAATATTTTTAATAGAACCTATTTCAGCTTTATTTTTATAGATTCAAAAAAATATTTCTTTCAGTCAAGATCAGAAATATTCTACTAGATAACAAAAAAGCAATATTAGATGCTATAAAAGAAGACTTCAAGTTTGTTGACAGAATTACATCAATTAAGCTTTTATTGATTAAAGGAACACCATACTTTACAGACCAATGAATTATAATCTTTGAGAACTCAAATGATTCTAACTTAGAAAATAAAATTCCTCATTTTATATATATATAGGACAATAAAGTCACAACAAAATGAAAATTAGCATCTAAAATATTCTATTTTGGTGAAAAAGAAGGTCATATTAAAAAAGAATGCCAACAATTTCAAGATTCAGTAAATCTACAAATTAGCTATCAAAAATACAAAGAGGATAAATATAACAGAAGGTTCTCAAATAACTTTCAAGAGTTAAACAAGACCTTAGAAAGCACTGAACAAAGCAATAAAAAATTCTTATCAGCTAGAGCTAAATAATACAAAAGATGATGCATATATGGCTTTAGAAGAAACTGATCCTAACTATCAACAAAATATTCAGCTTTCAGTTCTAGTAGAATCAGCTATAACCAACAACAGCACCAACAGCTTAAATAAACAAATAATAATGATAACTCAAGAAGATCTCTTATCAGATATAGAAATACTACCAAAAAAAGAACTTGCCATTTATAGCTATGAAACACCACACCTATCTGCAAGTTGCATTTCCAAGACAGCCTCTTCTTCTGACAAAAATAAAAAAACAGATGGCTTAATCACAGTAACTAACAGGAAAACTAAAAAAGGAAACAGAATATCTAAGAAAAAATTATACAAGATTATTTCTTAGGAAAAAACTCTCTTCTGTTCATTTTTTTATAAGTGAAGAATGACTAATATACAAAATAATCAAAAACTCATATAATGCATTTACAAAAAAAGTAACAAGAGCTAAAATCCTTGTATCCAGAAAATGAAAGCAAGCTTGCTTAGCCATGTCAAGTATTCCAGTTAGTAATCAAAATAGAAAGGTCAAAAAAGCAAGAACTTCAAATGCAGAATCTGTCATATCTGGCAATGCAAAAGCAAACAATAAAGAAAACATGGAAGTTTTAAAGGTTTCTCACAATAGCACTGAGAGTGTTAACAACAAAACAAAGCATAGAAATCTCAATAGTGAACAAATAGTTAAAGACACAAATGCAAATCATGATACCAAAAGAAAGGCAAAAGTAGTGCAAGAAATTACTCTGTCTATGTTATCCAAAACAAACAGAACTTGTGGCTACAGTAAGTCACATATCAGAACATTAAGCAACATAAATCACGTAGCTAACATGAATCATAAGATGGAACATGCTACTAATTACAAGACAGAGCATACTAGTAACCAATCAACCTCAAAGAATCTGCCTGCAAAATCTAGACAGTGGTCAGATCTCTTCACAAAACTTGAAAGGGGAAAGGCAACTTACTCAACTTATTCATCTAGGAAAAGGCTAAATACCAAAAATGAGAATGCTCTAATTTTTGAAATTCATAGCTTAGAAAATATTCCTATAGACATAGTAGAGGCAGAAAACAATTAAATGAAATTAATACAACAATCATTAATTGGATAAAACATAAGTCCAAAATGCTGCCACAATATTCCACTTTTCAACATAGCTATGAACAAGGTGGCCTAGCAGCCCTAATTTTAAAAGACTTGCTAGACATAAGACTTATCTCTATTCTAATTAAGCTCTTCTCTAGTAACACATTCTGGGCTAAGACAGAAAGAGAAATAACATATCAAAGTCTACAAAGCAAAAGACATACTCCAATTGCAAATATCCTATCTTAATGCTCATACAAAACCAAAGGTTGGCCAGACAGATGGAAACCATACATAGTAGCTTGGGGTCACTTCAAAGGGCAAATTATAACCAGCAGCATATGGCCCTGGTCACTAGACCAAATCAAAATACAAAACCTTAAAGGTAACCTATTTTCAGTCAAAAAAGCTCTTAAAAGCTTTTACATCAACCAAGAGCCAAAAAAGGCAAACACTGAGAATATAAACCCGAACAAAGACATCCTTACTGTTCACAACTGGATAAAGCTAAAAAATGTTCTTAACAAGAAAAAGGACATCTTTTGGTGACTATTTCACAGTGCATTTCCCCTTGGCTATTGACTAGTGCACATTAGCCAAAACGAATCAGGTGATTGCCCTAACTGCTCTTACATCACTCAAACATTAGAACATTTCAGCTTAAAATGTCCACTGAGTAAAGCAATCTGGAACATAGCATATAATGCATTCAAGCTATTCAAGCTATTACAAACCTATGCTACTCTCTTTATGCTTAACGATGTCTTTACAGCTACCAATGTTCACAATGCTAAAGTGAAAAAATCAATAATTTGGCTACATATAACAGTCATATATGAGATTTGGTGCTGGTATACTCAAGCCAAATAGGAAAATAATATAACTTCTTCAGAAGCCATAGTTAACATAACCAAGCACAAATTAAAATACAAACTTAATCTACTCCATAAACTTACTCACAGCAGAATTAGTTCAGAATCAAAAGCAGCTAAGAAACTGCTTACTATCTTTAGTACCTCTTTATAACTATACAAACTAATCCTTTTATATATATCTCTAAATATAATAACCTTTTGACATAAATAAAAGCATGCTTAGATGCATTTTTTTTTTTAAAAAAAAAAAAAAACAAAGTTCAAATTCCTAATAGTAATTAAGCCCAGAGCCCCTTAAATGTTCTGCATTACATAAAAGAAGTTTATCAAGATATATACAAAGCAAAAGAAATGAACAAAGAGGCAATGGATTTTTTTACACAAAACCTATTATCAGTAACAATGTCAAATAACCAGGCCCTAACTAAAGATATCTCAGAAGAGGAAGTTAATGCTATATTAACCAACTTCCAAACAACAAAGCACTAGGGTCAGAGGTCTTAATTATAAATTCTACAAAGGAATTAAAGATAAAATCCTCCTAGTAATGGTTAAATTGTTCAATTACTGCCTGAATTCAGGCACAGTACTAAGGTCCTAGGCCAAAAGCATTATAACTTTAATATCCAAAAAATCAGACAATCTCTCTGATCTCAACAATTGAAGACCAATCTCATTTACAAATTTGACAACAAAATATTTATGAAGGTCCTAGCCAACAAAGTTAATCTTATCTGCGAAGAAATGATTGGTCCAGCACAGCAAGCTTTTATAAAAGGAATATTAATTATTGACATAGCACTAGACATTATTATGATAATGAGAAACCAAAATGACCAGACTCTCCCACATTGGCTACTGCTGCTAGATTAGCAAAAGGCATTTGACATAATTAGTCATGAATTTATAATGCAAGTGTTAGATAGCATGGGTTTTGATTACAAGTTTACAAGAATTATCAGATTCATTCTTGGTTCACAGACAACTCACATCTCAGATGCAGACTATAGATCAGAGTCAATAAAAGTAGAAAGTGGAGTATGATAAGGGGACCCCCTTTCACCTCTTTTATATATTATGGCCTTAAACCCTCTAATTCTAAAAATTCAAGAAGAACTAAAAGGCATACAAATTTTTGAACATCAATTTAAAGCAGCAGCATCTGCTAATGACTTGACAATAGGAATTGGTTCTTAACAGAATTGGGAAATTAGCCTTCTGAACCAAGTCCTTTTCAAAACTGCAAATGAAAGCAGCCAGCTAAGAATTCTAGGATTTGAAGTCAATATTAGAGGAGATCCACAAAAACAAGTCTAAGATACAATAACTCAAAATATCAAAACCAAAATAGAAAAAATCTCAACCAGAAACCTGTCTTTCAAAGGAAAGTTCCTGTTGTCCAAATTACTACTCATCTCTAAAATATGGTATATGGCATATTTATTACCACCTAGCAGAAAACATCTAGACAAAATTAACACACTAGTCTTAGGCTGGATTAAAAACAAGTCTAGACTGCTACTGAAATACTCAACATTTCAGCTAGATTATGACAGAGGAGAACTAGATGCTCCTGTACTCAAAGACATCTTAGATTCTAGGCTTGCCTCAATCTAAGTTAAGTTAATTTCAACAAACAGCTTATAGGCTAATATTGAAAGAACATTAATTTCACAAAGCCTTCAGACTAAAAGAAATCTTACTGCATTAGTGGCTCTCACTAAAAGACCAATAAAGCTTAAGGGGTGGCTGGATCACTGGAAGCTATACCTAACAGCATGGAAGAGACTTAAAGAAACTATTTTAGCAACTGTCAACTGGCCATGGAACATCTTATAGCTAAAAGTTGAAGAAAGTACAGGAAACTAGTTTACAGTACAAAGAGTTACTGAATTCCTCAAACAATGCTCAATAAAGCCTACTATTTCACAAGTATTACCAAGCTTACAAGATAAACTAAAAAGACTTTAGTTGGTTTCAGTGCAAATGCATACTTAACAAAAAGAAGGATATCTTTTGGAGACTCCAAAATAATGCATTGCTATTGGGATATTGCCTTATGCAAAGAGATAAATAGAAACTGTCTAAATTGTGTAGATAAAAAACAAACTCTGAGTCACTTTGCTGTGAATTGTGAAATAAGTCAAGCATTTTGAAAGAAAGTTACAACATTCTTTAAACTGAAGCAGGAGAAAAGTGCCTACAATCTTTAGAAGAAATACTAACAGCATTGAATATAAAAAACCAAGAAAAAAGAAAAGTAGCACTATGGCTTCATATTACAACAGTATATGAAATCTAGCTATGGTATACTCAAGCCAAATAGGGAAATAATATTATATCAGAAGAAGCTATAAAGAATATTTCAAAAGCAAAAATTCAAAAAAGTTTAAAAGTTTTATACAATACCTCTAAAAGTAAGGTGAAAGCCAAAATGATCAAGTTCTTAAAACTAAAAAACTGTAAATAGATTAACTAAATAGTTTGTTAATAATGTATTTTTAGTATACTAAATAAAATACACCATTTAGTGTTTTTTTTTTTAAAAAAAAAAAGATTATCTCTCTATAAGAAACTCATAGGGAAGAAAGAGATCTAGAGGATCCAACAACATCATACAACTTATGTCTCAAAAAGCTAAATTAAAAATAGCAACACTAAATGTGAAAGGACTTAAGGCAAACAACAAAATATACTAACTCTTTTAAAATCATACAAATTAGATATAATAATGCTTTAAGAAACTAATCTTAATAATGAGAAAACACAATGGATCTACAATTTGATTTGAACAAAAAAAAACAGTAATTTTAGCAAGAAGCAAAGATATCAAATTCAAAAACCCACAAATAAGCCATGAAGAAAGAATAATAATAACAAACTTTGTTGTTAAAGAATATTCCTTCAAAATAACAAATGTTTATGCACTACCAAACATTAGTAACAGAATAATCTTCTTCAATGATTGGAAACCTCAAATCAAAGAAAATAACATAAACATTATAGCAAGAGACTTCAATATTAATCTTAACCTCAAAGATAATAAAATTAGTCAAGCTCCAATTTAACAAAAGAATTTATTAATATAGCAGAGATGTCAAGCATCAAAAAACAAAATAACCACTCAATGGTTACATGCTTAGACTACATCTTTTTAGATGAGAACTATGATCACCTTATATCAGAAGTTAGTACATACTTCAGTAACCCAGACCACCTTCTAGTAAGATGCACACTTGAGTTCAAACAGAATTCTGAACAGTCTTCAGTTTAAAGGTTTAATAAAGAATTTTTTAAAAATAAACTGCTAAAGAAAAAGATTTTAGAGAAAATTCAGAAAGCTAACTTAGCAAAAAACTGAGATCTATGTAAAATCTATATACAATCAATTATTAAAACCCAAAGTTTCTGAAAACAAAATGCAAAACTAAACAAAAATATTACTAAGTTAAGTAAGAAGCTTGCAGCAGACTTCTCAAAAGAACACCTTAATGAAAATATAAAAGAACTTAACCTTTAAATGCAAGAGGAACTAACCAAGATGGCTAAGTCATAGCTAATTCAGTCAAAGACACAATGGATTGAAAATGGAGAAAAGTCAACAAAATACTTTTTCTTAAAATACAAAGCAAGAAAGTTACAAAGTGCTTAGTCTAGAATTGAAATACCTGAAACTTTTAAAAACTTAGAAAATGAAGACACACTTACATATATTAAAAACTAATACACAAAGATCTACAAAAAATGTAGCAGAAAAGATTACTGAAAGTCATTTCAAATACTACAGACCAAAATGGCAATTTAGAAGTTCTTGTTGACTGTTTTAGCTTTATAAATATTCTGATATGTTTTCTTTATAAATTGTAGAGTAGCAGTTAAGTCTTCAGGGTTATTATTGTTAGAAGGTCAAATTTTGATCTTGTTTGCTATTTTTCTGAGAGCAGCTGAAGCTTATCTTGAAGCTGTTGGTTAATATTTTCTATCTGCAATAGAGCTGCTATTGGATTCTCTTTATTAGCAGCTTTTTTATTTAATTTTGAAAATTGTTTTTGAAGCCTTTGAATCTTCTTTTCTGGAGCAGGATTAGGCCTAAATGCTCTAATTATAGATTGTATTCTGCATTTGCAAAGGTTCCATTTTGAGAAGTCAGTAATGCTTTAGAGTTCTTTGATTACTTCTTTTTTTAGCAGGTTATTATTTCAGCTATTTTTACAGAATCTTCATTGTTTTGCTTTAGGGTTTTCAAGTGAGAGGTGTATTTTGCATTTTACCATTAAATAATCAGAATTGCCAAATTGTGTTGCTATATTTTTACAATAGTTGCTATGATTGCTGTCTGTAAAGATGTAATTAAGCCTTGTAGCCATTTTGTGACCTGTAGGGTTATAAGTAATAGGCATATGACTAATTCAATCTTTTTGTGAATTTGTGTTAAAGTCTTTAGCCAAAATATTAATGCATTTATCATCTATTAAGAGAACCAAAAATTTGAGTCTATCTTCTATATTTGGTGGTGCATAAACATTGTTCAAGAAAAATGGTTAGTTTTTATATAGAAAAGTTGCTGTGATAACATGGCCATTCTGAGATTCTATAATGTTTTCAAATGAAATGTTTCTATTTCCTGCTAATATTGCTATATTGGAAAACCAGTAAGAGCTGTATTCCCATTGTCATGAAAGAAAATTTCCTGTGTTATAATTTTCTAAATTTGTTTCTTATAATATAATTGTTTAATTGATATGATTTAAGTAAGGTTAGCATTTTGTATGCTTTGTTTAAATTGTTTAAACCTTTAACATTAAGTGTTGTAATTGTAATTTGTTTAACTATTAATATTAAAAAATTAGAGATTGATGAGTTAGATTAAGATTTTTTGGTTTTGAGACCAGAATTCTTTTTAGGATCCAGACTTATAACTTTGTTTTTACTCTTGTGTTTTTTCTTTTGACACCACCAATTGAAATTTATTGTCATCATTGCTGATGAAAGAGAATTCAGCAACCTTGAAGCCATCATAAAGGGTGGTTAGTGGATCTACTACTATGTTAATATCTATAGTCTGATTTTCTATTAAAGGATTGTTTAATTCTTTTAGAATATCTTCAGTTGGTTCTTTTTCAGCTGTTTTCACTTTAATCTGAGGCTGATCTATATTGATATGACTATCCAGATTTATATTTGCTAAGATTTGCTTATTGACATTGTTAGCATCTAAGTCATTATTATTTTTGATATATGGGTTATCTGCACTAAAGTCTTCTAATATGAAGGTTTGGTGCTTTGGTTTTGTTTGAGATCTTTGTAATCTGTATGTTTTTTGCATAGCTCTAAGTTCTACTAAGGCTATGTACTCAGTGCATTCTTTCTTAATATGACCTACTTTGTCACAAAAGTACTATTTTGTGGTCCCAAACATATGTATATCTGAGAATTTTATTTGCTAGATCTGGGTCATCTGTAGTTTCAAAAATAACTACCCATTGATCTGAAAGAACTGAGATGCCATTGTGTACCAGAGATTTAATAAAAGAGATTGTGCCTACATCTTGAAAAGCTTCTTTGATTTTTCAGAGATAAAATTTTTTTTATCTATTAGTTATTTCTAAGAGAAAGCTTCATCTAATATTAAAAGGAATATAACTCTAAAAAGACTGTTTAAAAATTGCAATTCCTTTAGCTGCATAGTACTGTTGCTGGTCCTTATTAGAAAAGATAACTTTTAAATGAATTCTTCTGCCTTTGGTAACTATTACTGCTATAAGACTGTCATCTAATTTTTTTTGCTATTGCTTCAACTATGTCTGCTGTAGATATGTTTTTTAAATTTTAAGTTTTAAAAATTAAAGTATTTTTATTTTTAGTGTAGATTCTTTTTCTAAAAGAAAATGTAGAGTAGATGGCTTTTTCTCTTGGTTTTAATTGGTTGTTTGTGATTTCTAATTAAGATGTGACTGAGTTGCTATTATGAGACACATGTTTGGTTTGTTTTGTTACCTCTGTATACATGTTGTCAGCAGATGTAAACAATGCATCATCTTTTTTTTAAGATTAGTATTTTCTTTGTTTAGTACTTTGCTAACTTTTGAATCTGTTACTACATGTGTTTCTTGTGCTTTTTGTGTTGCTAAAACTTTTGGTTCTTAATTATTTAAGACTTAAACTTTAGTTTGTTCTAATAAGCTCTTAGAAGGATCTGACTTAAACTAGTTTCTTCTTTATAAATATTAGAAGTTTTGATTTTCTTGTAAGACACAGGTGTTTCAGATAACTTAGTAAAAGAGAAGCGTAGCATGTTAGTACATAGATACTTTCTTTTCTTCAGCACAAGAGATTTAGCTCTTATGGTATATTTCTAATAGATTTTAATAAAGGTTTAATTGTTTTTTGTTTATTTTATTCTCTACTACTAAATGTAAGTGAAGAGAGAGTGAGATTTTTTTTTTTTGAAACTTTAATTTCTGTGTAGGCTGTATGAGATTTTCTTTGTTTATATTTTGCAAAAAAATATTTTATTGATTTCTTGCCTTGTTTTATTGAAATAGATATGACATTTTTCTGCCAAAGTTGTTAACTTCTTTTGTAGCTGTACATTAAGCTCATCTAAAGATGAAGACAGGATTTCTGTGTTTGGTAAACCAGCTATTTTTTTATGTTAAGTCTTGAGATTTTGCTTTCTGTTGTTTTTGGCTTTCTAAATGCTCTTATAATTGATTGTATATAAACCTTACAAAGATTTCAGTCCTCTGTTGCATTTGGTTTACTGATTTCTTCTAAGACCTCTTTTTTAAGTTTTTTATTATTAAACATGAATTTATCAAATCACCAGCTAGATGGTTGTTTTCTTTCCTAGTTAAATTGAGTAAACAGCTAACTAGAAGATGGTCAGAGTTATCAAAATGTGTGATTAATTTTTATTGACAAATATGTAATCTAAACAGGTTGCCATTATGTTACCACCTTGTGTTTTTTGATGAAATATAAGAAAAGCCAATTTCTGCTATGTTTGTAAAATTTTTTGTTAATTCCAGAAGTTGGTTTCTAAATGGGTCTAGCTGAGGTACTGCTTGACTTATTCTGTTTGCTTCTGGTTTTAGGTTTATATTGAAGTCTTCTGCTATAATGTTTATTACATTCTTTTTAATTTAAGAAACCCAGTTATCAAAAAATATTACTTTGTTGCTAGTGCTAAGTGATGTGTATATATTAGTAATAATGAATAAGAGACCTTTGTAGACATATAATGCTGTGATAACTCATTTATAATGGTCTATTTTTGTATCTTTAAAGATAATGTTTCTGTTTCCAGTAGTGTTTTAAAAAATTCCTAGCATTTTTATTGTTAAGATTAGTTTCTTGTATTTAAATTGTAGGATTTTAAGAATGTTAATGTTTTCTATTGTTTGCCTTGATCATTTAGTTTGAATTTTGGAGACATGTAATGTATAAAAAAATTTGACCCAATTAGATCTGTGAGAGCAATCCCTTATTGCATTGTTTCCTGTATAGGCTAGGCCTTAATTGGTTCTTATTCTGTAAGGTCTTTTCTTTTTTATCTTTGTCTTTTTTATAAGGTAGCATAAGAGTCTCCTTATTGTCAACTTTTTTTTCTTTTTTTTTTTTTAAAAAAAACCGCAATTAAGCATATTTATTTATTCATTTATTAGAAGATAATTGTGAATTACATATAGCTATTATTTAGATTAATAAAG